CACAAGAAATATTCTGCTGGCCACTATCATTCAAATTATGTAGTACTAAGCGACTCGTAAAGTAGCCTGACATCGTTACTCAACGATTCCTCTAATTCTCAAGCGGAGCTAGTGGATGAAATCAGGCAAGCGTGCTTACTTGTACATAGTCAAGGCAAATCAATCGAGTTGGCATGGATTCATGTCGGCATACAAGGGAACGAAATCACAAATACAAACTAAAGCTATGTCCCTGTGGTGAAGCTGGCACGGCCGAACACCTGTTGATCCATTGTGGGCAACTAAGGGAATTAAGGAAATCGCTGGTCGAGATAATGAAAAGATATAGGCTGGATTACACCTTTCAGAATATTCTGTCCCATATGCATACATGTGTACAGGTCAGGAAAAAAAATTCTTTTTTTCATTTTTTTTTAAAATAAGCTTTAAGCCTTGTAAATTAATTAAATTGATCATAGGCCTACATGACACAGTAAAAATTAACAATCTATAATGAGGGATAATTCTAGAAATAGTGCCTGATATTTCAAATTTAGGGGCCCAAAAAGTAATTTGATATTGACATTCTTCAGTATTGATTGAATCAAAAATAATGTCAAAGTGAAATGATGTTTGAAAACAAGAAATCAAGCATGATCCCAGCCCTCTAAATTAAATGGTACCGGTAGGCCTACATATAATACCATATTAAAAAAACAGTATGTTCTGAAAGCAATATTTAGTAAATAATATGTACTGGCAATGTTACTTTTTCCAAAGGTGTAATTCATGACACCTAAAATATCTCCAGTCCGATCATTAAATACTTTTCCTGCAACACTCTCGCGAAGTATTGAACTGAAGTTACCGCTTCCATTTTGACATTCTTCAGATATAATATGGAAAGACTTGCAGTAGTAAGCCTGTTATGAAGGCAATAAATGAATGTTTACAGGCTACAGTAAAATTACAAACGATTATATGTAAGTTTGAGTTTACATAAGAATTAGACATCCAGTCGCGTATGATAATCTACCGATAATGAAATAGAATTCTGATAAAGAAGCCTAATATAGACCTCACAGATTGACACTGACGGTATAAAATACTGAGAAGACTTCAAGATTTGGTATAAAATACTGAGAAGACTTCAAGATTTCGATTTCTAGTAAAAGTAGGGCTACCATAAAATTTATTGTCAAAGCGAAAGTAGAATCTATTCGATGTTGTTATATAAAGTGTGTCACGTGGGCTTAAAATACACATTATCGGGTGAAAATAGATCAAATCACCAACTTAATTGGGGGATTAATTAATCAGGCAATGATAATATTATTACGTGATGAGATTAACACGTGTTACCGGCAATTAAGATACAAGTAATGATAGATATATTGTTGATTTATGGTAGAGAATTTGAACATTGAAAACGGTAGGTCCCGTGAAAATTTTATCAGGAAAAAACCAAAAATCGGTAGAATCGGGTATCCCGTCGGTAGAGCAGTAGACAACATGCAAAAGCGGTAGAAACCCGATAACATCGGTAGATTACACATGTATGCCCATACCGGGGAGGGTATGTCAACAATCTGTGAGACAGTTTATTATTTTCTGAGTGAGTCACAAATGATCACATAAAGTAGCACATCAGAAGAGCTCCCTGCTCCTCTGTAGATGTGGCGATCATTGCGGACTTAGTCCGCGATAGATCGTCAAGAAGAATCACAGAAGAAGAACGCAGTATCAAGACTACAGAAGAAGAATCAGAAGAAACCATGGGAGCAACCCGTTCCTTACTCAACGTCTGCGATATGGAATTTTTTCCGAAGCTGACACCATCCGAAGAAGAAGAGACTGTAGCAATGAGTGACAATGGCGCGTGTCCGTCTTAACTCTGTCAGGCCCGCTCGTAATCTTACATTGAAGCGCTTCAATGGGTTGTTTGGTATCTGTCGATTTGTACCGAACTAGTCAAAATCTTCCTGCGTACTCATTTATACTTACTCTAGTTTAGTTAAGGGTGAGTTACAGCCGCAAATGTGGTTTTTGACTCCTTTTATAATCTTTAGTAATTAGCCAGGATTCAACGGGTAACAAACGGTTATTGCCATCAATTACCCGGTTCATAACATTTACTAACCGTTTCAAGACTATTGCTCGCTAATCTGAAGGTCCAGGGTTCGATCCCGGCATAGGTTGAGATAATACTTTTGGATTTTTCAACCTGTCAGTGGTGTAGGTAAGATGGGCTGACATGGAAAAAGTGTCTAGTTGTTCGGATGGGTCAATAAACTGAGGCCCCGTGTGCTACAGGCTGTGCACGTTAAAGATCTCTCGACAGTTGAAAATCGAAAAAGAGCAGGCTAATGCCGCTGTTCCTCATTGCACCCTGTATGACGTTGCCCATCTTCATTAGCCCATGTGGTGCAGAAAAGTAGGACGTAAAACTCCATTCATTTCATTGCATTTTTCTACAATCCCTTTAAGTTAAAGATGGGTTCCCTTACTTTCATTTATGAAAATGAAAATGCTAATACTTATATGGATAGGAAGTAGAGATGTTCTAATGACTTAGAAAAATACCAGTTTGTCTCACAGGTCCATAATTAATTCATAATTAGCTAAATTAGAAGAGAATTACCAGCAGAATTCCAATGAGTGACCGCTCAAAGGAGGTTATTAAAAGTTTTTTTTTTTTTGTCCAGTCTGTACATACATGGACATTTACGATTGTTTAAAACTCTAAATTGTATGCAATAAGAACATAATGATATGATAAAGAATACATGATAATTCATTAGAAAAACCAATTAATACAAAAGTTTGCTTAATTTGAATCTAAAAAATAAGGAAACCCATCTTTAACAACGGTAGTCATAGTTTATTGTTTTTGTAATAAGAAATGTTTTCACTATAAGTGAAGTAAGTGCAAGCATGAATGGTCAAATCAAAACAGCAGTGAAATATACCCATAATGACTAGTGATGCCAACAGTGCTATTGTAACTGATATGATAAAGGTTTTCAAAGTATGGAAAGATAATTTCAGCTCTCTGTTCAATGCCTCAGCGGATAATAAAGCTTAACAACTACAAGAAAAGAAGACCCGAATCTGAATAATCCTATAACCAAGAAGGAAGTTAAAGATGCAGTAAAGAGTTTGAAAACTAGGAAATCAACTGGATTTGACAACATTCCAAGTGAGGTCTTGAAGAACAACACTGTAATTAGATAGCTTGCCAGGCAAGGTAACATACGCCCACTGGCAGCTGCCAGAAATGATAAAACAGTCTTTAGTGACTAATGTATGAATTTTCTCATATTTAAGAAATTTTAATAGTTTGAATTCATTGATATATATATTTACTGCCAGTTATTTATGCTGAGAAATTCCACCAATTTTTAAAAATCAATATCAATAACCTAAATACATCAAATTATCTCAACAATATACATGATCACACCATGTTTCATTAAAATCAGTTGAAAACTGTAGTCCCTATTGTGTTCACAAGAAATGTTGACGGACAGACGGACCAACGGACAGGGGCAACAGCAATATACATCCACATTTCCATGTGGGCGTAAAAGAAACTGTTACAAAGAAAATGATAAGCTTGTTTTGAAAATGGAACTGTGCCAGCAGAATGGAATCCAAACATCATCCATCCGATCCTGAAACCAGACAGCGAAGACAAAATTAACTCGAACAACTACAGAGGTATATCTCTTATATCAGTAAGTAAGGTCTATTGTTTTATTCTGAACAAAAGGATAAATGCTTATTTTGAAACGTCAAAAAAAGCCTGTCCGATTTTCAAAATGGCTTCAGGAAACAACGTAGCTGTTCTGACCATGTATTTACCCTGCATAATATTGTAAACGAACGTAAGGACAAAAAACTTTTTTATATGTTTGTTTATTTCCAAAGACCTCTGCTGTGGTACAAACTAAAAACATGTGGGATTTCGGGAAAAATGTTTATGTGCATTACAAAGTTTATACAGTGACACAAAAAGTGCAGTTAGGATTAACAATCATATGACAAATTGGTTTGTAACTTCATGCAACTTAGTGCAAGACTGGTGAGAAAAGAGGAAATTATTTTTAAATGTAGCAAAAACAAAGATTGTCCACTTCCGACCAAAATCAATGCTTAGATTCATTCATATCTTTAAATGTAGTAACAATATTATTAATTATAGCGAATTTTATAGATATCTCAGCTTGTGACTACATGAACCTTTAGATATGCACAAAACAGCATCTGAACTGGCAAAATCGGCTAATAGAGCACTATGGTCACTAGGGTCAATTTCAACAAGTTTTTAACAGTTTATATAAATCTCTTGTTGAGCCAACACTGTTTTACTGTGTGGGGATATGAGGCATTAAATCTTTTTCTTTTATTAATTCAGTCAAGAGACAATTAAGTTTTTCTTGGGTGTAGGTAGGTTTACATCCAATTTGTCGACACAGAGTGATATAGGGTGGACTTCATGTTTCACAAAGCAGAAATTAGAATGTATCCGGCAACTGTGCAAACTCTATAGGTTAGATAAAAATTGTTTTCTGTTTAAATTGTTTCAGTATTTACATGTTATTAGAAGAACCTATAATAAAAGAACTTATAGGAATTCTAAAGAAACCCCCTAAGTTGAATCATACGTAGATTCTTAAGAAGAATATTTCTTTTTTATGTTTGTAATGTTTGGGTAACTTTTTCAATTTTTTTTTAAATTGATGGGTTCATATTTTATAAACTTACAGCATGGAATTTTGAACATAATTGGAAGTTTTGAAGGGGTGGGGTTACACAGCACTTATAGTGAGGTTCACATTTGCAGGCAATTCAGTGGAGGACTCAGTTGTTGAACGCTTTAGTTCCCTCTAAGCATATATTACTTTTTTTCACAAAATTTGCAAAATGCCAAACATCTGCTTTTATGCTACACATGACTCTAATTTCATCATGGACAACTGATAATGATTTTTAATTGTATGATTTGATGATATACTCACTCATTTTATAAGCTTCATTTATATCACGTATATCAGCATTAGCTCTTGTACACAATATTTCAATAAGCGTAGCTTCATCTGTTCCAGCACCCTAAATTTAAATACATTAGATTAGCATGAGGGGACCAAAAAACAGCAGATGACATAGGGTATTCCTATCTATAACAATTCACTTATGTGTCAATTCATCCTGTCAAAACCATGACCCTGTAATTAAATATTTTGATTTATATGGATGATACAGAATTAAGTAAGACTTTTGGTAAAGAATTGAAGCTGAGAGAAAATGAAAACGTAATGTTTTTTGTTTATACCTTCTTCATTTCTCTTCTACCTTAACTGCCGTCTGATTGTTCAGATATAAATACAGTAAGACCCATCTCATTTCAACGTTCACAAAAAAAGTTGAATGGGCTTAGTTTAATACTGGTAAATACTAGTTTAAGACCATGTCAAAATCCATATTCGGGATACTATAGAAAAACTAAGTAGTCCTAGAGTCCAACATGTTTCAAGAGCACAGAAGCCCTATTCCTCATGGACAGACACACATGAAAAGTCGGATAGTTGTTAAGTAACATTCCTGCATTCTTCTCATGGTAGGAATCCAATATGGCTTTATAAAATGATGATCTTATGAAGATGCAGTGGATCAAAATACGCCCCCATTTAATTTGTTAATAAAGTAGAAGACATACAAAACATTTCACAAATTTTTTCCTGACATTTCAAGTGTGTCTGTCCCCGAGGAAAGGGGCTTTTGTGCTTTCAAAACATGTTGGAATTTGGACTTTTGGACTACTTTTTTTTTTGTAGCAGATTATTTTTTTGAATGTTTACCCATGTGTTGTGCTTCAGAGTATCCATATTATTTGGATCATCTTTAAATGAACCTGTAAATAACTTTGTGAAATGGTTCGTGAGTCTTCTGTTTTATTGAACAAATGAAATGGGGGGTGTATTTTGATCCACTGCATCTTCTTAAGCATAGGTTATTGAACGATCATCATTTTATAAAGCCATATTGCACTCCGACCATGAGAAACCTCAAACCTCAAACATCAAATTATCATCGAAATTTAAACATGAACAATGTTTTCGAACCTCAATATATACATGCATACCAAGTTTCATTAAGATCGGTTAAAACCTGTAGCCTTTATCGTGCCTACAAGTCCAATTTGATGTGTCTATATTACGTCAAGGGAAATAACTCTAACACCGATCATCCAATTGATTCAAAGTTCGAACTTGACTGAGATCTCATCAATATATACAGGCATACTAAGTTTCATCAAGATCGATTAAAATCTGTAGCCTCTATTGTGTTTACAAGCCAAATTTTATGCGTGTTTACTAAGTCAATGGCAATTAACTCTGAAACCAATCATCCGATTGTTACCAATTACGAACTATTTAATATTTACATGCAAACCTAGTTTCATCTAGGTTGGATAAAAACTTGATTCGTTCTTACTAAGTCATGTCAGTAACTTTGAAACCAATCATCCCATTATTACCAATTTCGAACCTGACTGAGATCTCATCAATATATACATGCATACCAAGTTTCATCAAGATCAGATAAAAACTGTAGTCTCTATTGCGTTTACAAGTCAAATTTGACAGGTTTTTACTAAGTCAAGGGCAATAACTCTGAAACTGTTCATCCAATTATTACCAATTTCTAACTTGACCGAGATCTCATCATGCATATCTAGTTTCATCAAGATTGGATAAAAACTGTAGTCTCTATCTTGCCTGCAAGCCAAATTTGAAAAGTCAAGGGCAATAACTCAGAAAGCCTTCATCTGATTGATACCAATTACGAACTCGAGTGAGAACTCATCAATATATACATGCATACCAAGTTTCATCAAGATCAGATAAAAACTGTGGTCTCTATCGTGCCTACAAGCCAATTTTGACGTGTTTTTACTAAATCAAGGGCAATAACTGACACCGTTCATCCGTTTATTACCAAATTTGAACGTATCCGAGATCTCATCAATATATACACGCATACCAAGTTTCATCAAGATCAAACTAGTCAAACAAATAACTCTTAAATCGTTCATCCAATTAATCTCATTTTCGGACTTGACTGAAGTCTCATCAATATATAAACTAGTGTCCAAAAGAAACAATACCACCTGTTTGCAACGACATAAAAGAAAAACTAAACAATGCAGAAGTTTAGGATTGGTGTTATGCTTTTGAGAAATCCTTTCACAACATCTGTACAAGATTTCATTTCAATAAAATCTGTACAACCAATATGACAAGCCTTTAAAGATGGGTGGGGTCGAAAAAAGAAAATTTCGTTAGAGCACTGATCACAGAAACAACGGGAAATGTCACACCACACGTCACAAAGTCAAGTCAATAGCGGGTATGTCCACCGTGAGTATCAATACATGCCAGAACACGCCTACGGACTGATGCCGTCAAACGTCTGATGACGTTGGGAGTGATTCGTTGCCATTCCTCGAGAAGACATCGTTCCAAGTCTTGGACGTTGACTGGAGGCACACGGCAAAGTCGGATTTGCCGATTGAGGTGGTCCCATAAGTGCTCGATGGGATTCATGTCCGGTGAACATGCGGGCCATGGCAAAACCTGTACGTTGGCGTTGGCAAGGAAGTTCTGTGTCAATCTTGCTGTGTGTGGCCTTGCATTGTCATGTTGGAAAAGGAGTCCACGAGGCTGTTGCTGAATAAAGGGCACCACAACAGGCCGTAGGATGTCATCAATATAACGCTGTGCATTCAGGTTTCCACGAATTACGACAAGCCTCGTTTTGACGTCACCACATATGCCACCCCAAACCATTAAACCTCCATCTCCAAACGACCGGACCTGTTGGATAAAGTTAGGCGCCAAACGTTCACCAAATCGTCGGTATACAAGCTGCCGTCCATCGTTTTTGAAGATGAGGAATCTGCTCTCATCAGAGAACATAACACGTGCCCAGTCCCGCCGTTGCCAACGTCGAACTCGCCTGGTCCAGATCAGTCTGTTGTTCCGGTGTCGAGGCGTCAGGAGCGATACGCGGTAGGGATGACGTGGCCGGATACCATACTGCCGTAGTCTCCTGTAGACGTGGACGTCGCTGTTACGGTGCGGTTCCTCAGGTGTAATACCCGGATGTACCGAACTTAATGGGGCGTGGTTACTCGTGGTCTTCCACTCCTGGGCCTGTCTGACGTCTGACCTGTCTGATGTAACCGCTGCATCAACCTGGTGATAGTGATGCGTGCGCAGCCTAACCTTCTGGCGACGTCGACGTGTGTCGCTCCTTGTTGGACCATTCCAACGGCTCTCTCTCTCTCGATGGCTGTCAAAAGTGGCATATCTTGTGTTCTTTTTGTTGCTGTGATATCAACGTGTCTGATCAGCCGTTTTATACAGTTTTTATGCACGTGCAGAACATGCTAGACAGGGAAATGTCACTTTCACGAAATTTACGTTTTTTCCCGGAAGTGATCACGTGTTACCGGTATTTTTATCGACTATGCTGTGTTTGGGATGTGCAATACGAATTGGCATGTTTTCATATTAGACAATTCACTTAGTAAAAAACAATTTTGAAAATAAGTTGGTATCGTTTCTTTTGGACACTAGTTTATATGCATACTAAGTTTCACCAAGATAGGATCCAAATTGTAGCCTTTATCGTGCATACAAGACGAATTTGACTCGTATTTACTCAGTCAAAGGCTATAACTCTGAAACCATTCATCTGATTATTACCAATATCAAACTTGACCAAGATCTCATCACTCATCAAGATTGGATGAAACTTGCAGCATTTGTCGTGCATACAAGACTCATTCTCAACTAAAACAGTAAAGTTGTGAAAGAAAATATGAGAAAAGTAACATTCGTTTGATGGAAAATTTAATATTTTTTCTGTATCTGTATTGTTGTTCTTTGATTGTAATTTACGAGCCTTTCCCAACTATCATTAATCACATGATTACAAGTTTTCTTTTAAATATAGACCATCATTTTCGGATCAGAATCAGACAATTACACTTCAAATTGACAAGGGAAACTTGATTCAAATTATGAATTTGTGGTGACGCATACAAAAAACGGATTCATGTATAAAAATCTCACTCAGAGAATTAAAATTGAATTGCTTTAAATTTTAGTAAAATACGGACAGGACTGCTAAAACTTGCATTGAAAATGATTTTATTCATTTTAAACAATTTCATTTTATTTTATTGTTCAAGACATTAGGTTTTAACATATAATAAATCAGCACTAACAACTTAATATACGTCCCATAAAAGACATTTTATTTGTCTCGTAAAATACAAAATCAAAATAATTTGGAATAAAAAATAATCAGATTTCAAGGAATCAAAACAAGTTCATTAGGAGAAAAAATATGACAACGATAACTTAAAACTTGAAAGATTTAGCCCTTATTTGAAACGTCCCGTAAATTACACAATTCAAATACAAATTAATTTTGAAACGTCTTCATTGACAGTAAAAAGTCGTTGGGTTTTTCCAGTTGGTTCATGGAACATATTATGTGTTTAAATGGTATCCAGATTATGTATTCCCTCAGAGGTCATTTAAATTTCCCTTCCTGCTTTTCACTTGCCTCCAAGTACATTAATTCATTTTACTGAATCATGGGGAGTCTTTGTTATAAGACAAATAATCCTGAGCTTTAAATTTGTCGGGAAATTTCAGGAAATCGCGTTTCTTGGCATCTAATTCTCAAAATTTTCCCAGCGGCATACCAAAGACCCTATATACATAATCTTGAACCTTAACTTCGTCAAGAAATGTCAGGAAATCATGTTTCGAGGCGTCTTATTCTCAAAATTTTCTTTAGGCGGTCCCACAGTCCCTATACAAATTAACTGTAAATTCGCCAGGAAATATTAAGAACTCGCTTTTCAGGGAGTCAAATTCTCTAGAATTTTCTAGAGGGGGTCCCCAAACTTCAGAAAATCATGTTTCTAGGGCGTCAGCAGCAATAAAGATAGCAATAACTTTATAGAGAGCACTTATACTGTAATGCTTAACAATTCACAAAGTTCTCCTTGACTTGGCTGGCTCAAAAAG